TTACTTTTCTTAGTGTTTTTGGCATCCCTGGAAGCAAAGTTAGGAGTGGAGAGAAAAGCCTTGTTGTGTGTAGAGCAGGAGAATGTGCCTTTGCATATAGGAGCCCCTGTGGGACGGCGTGGGGTGTGAGGGAGCGACACGGAGCAGGAGCGACGCGGAGCGCGCGCTGCGCTCACCTTGTGGCCCTGCCTGCTGCTCCCAGCGCTGCCCGGCTCCTGGTCGGCTCTGGATGCCCCATCTTCCACCTGCAGCTCCAGGTGCAGGGGGGATGCCTGCCGGTCTGAACAAAAAACAGGGATTAATAGGTAATGATTGTTATATTACAAGAGAAGATCTCCCTGTTGCAGAGATACATATGGGGTATTGTCATGAAAGTGCATAGTGTGGACTGAATTTAAACAATGAATATACTCATTCCAATGAATGTGATTTTATTTGGCCCAAACTTTATAAAAGAACTGAGGGAAGAAATGAATCTATTTTAAACCAAGTTTATTTTCTTTTATAGGAGAAGAGAGAGAGCACTCTGGTTTCTTTAGCATATGCCATTAGTTTTCTTAGAGTCATTATGTGGCTAATAGCTTGAGCTGATTAAAGCCTTAGTCCCTCTCGCTGTGAATACCAGTGATGATCAGCCTTGTTTTAATCAGATGAGGCAAAGCAGAGGGCTTGGGGGAAGACAGGTAGATATTTATCAGGTGGACGGAAGGCTAATGCTGCTCCAAATCCTTGCTGTGACACGGCTGTCTCCTGGTCGTGATCCCCACGCATGGGGTGCTGTTCATGTGCTAACCTGAGGCCTTTTCCCCTCCTCTCACCTGTTTTTTGGGGCCAGGGTGATAACGGGCAGCACAGTTTACTCAGGGAAACCTTGGCCCTGTTGGAGAACAGGGTGACCTGATGGACAGAGGCTCTCTGGAGAAAGCACTTTTTGGCCGCTGTCCTTTTGCTTCCATAGTTTTTTTTGTTTTGGTTTGGGTTTTTTTTCCATAGTTTTTTAATGGAGTGATTTAAATACTGCTCTAGTGAAAGGGTTTCTGCTATTGGAGAAAAGGTTTCTGCTATTTGAGAGGAACTGAGCTATAGAGACACCTGATGCAGGTGGCAAATAACCTCTGGCTCTGCCTGGCTCCCTGTTTGTAAAGCAACTTAAGACATAAGGGAAGTGCTGGAAAAGCCTGGATTGAAGATCTTGGTTCTCCAAGGGAATGAGAAGAGTCTTTTCTATTGATATTAGAAGTGGTTGATGTTTGGATAACTGGAGCACTGAATGCTGCCTTGGCAGCATACACATAATGTGCTTTTGTCTTGGCCCAGAGGAATGGACCTTTAGTGCTGTGCTGCAGTAAGAGATAGGAATCCAGTTTGGAAAACACCCCAAAATGGAAAATTTGGGAATTTTTTTTTTTTTGTATCCAACCCGTTCTGTCCTTGAATAATGAAATATAATCGCTGATTTGTTGGTCTCCTGTGCTGCAAACCTGCTGCTCTGTCCTGGTATGGTTGACTTGAGCAAACTGGCACTTCAGAACACGCTTCTCCAGGAGCACAGCAAAGCTGATGGTAACATCAACGGTGATGAGGAGGGTGCAGCTTGAACACCAGGAAGGGCAGGGTATGACAGTGACTTTGCAAATGCCGCCGTGGAAAGTCGAACCGAGTGAAATGAGGACCTTTCGTCTCTAGTGCGATGGCTTTTTGCTGTATAACGCGTCCCGTTGGACAAGGGTGCCCCTTCAAAGGGCCGCCGCTCCCGCCGCGGCTCCGCCTGCCGGGGCCGCCCCGGGGGCTGCGGGGCGGGTCACGCGCTCGGCGCCTCCTTAAGGGCGCGCGCGGCCGCGGGGAGCCCGTGCCCGAGGCGGCGGAGTGGCGGCGCGGAGAGCCCGGCGCGGAGCCGCCCCAGGTAGGAGCGCGGCGGGGCCCGGGGCACCGGGGGCGGCTCGGGCCGGGGTGGCCGCGGCGGCTGCGGGCACCGCTGGGCGCGGGGCGGCCGCTCCGCACTCAGCTTTATCCCACCGCGAGCGTGCGGAAGGGAAGAGGCGGCCGCAGACGTAGATACTAAAGCGGAGCGGGGCGTTTTAAGGGGCAGAAATGTTCTCAGCACTTTGCAAAAGTGAAACTTTTTTTTTCCTCCGGCTTCACTTCCTCACTCTCCGCTCCTTTTATGGCTAGCTTAAAATATTTTTTTTTTTCCTTTCTCTAACTAGGAAATACAACTAAGTCAGCAGTATAAAACCACAAGGGAAGGAAAATGACCAAAGCCCTTTGCTTAATAAACGAAGGGAAGTTGTAGAAAGGCTTCTTCGTGTTAGAAGTCAAGAGCTGTGCAAGTTAACGGTGCGGTTCCCTGCCGGGGCGGGCGCCGCTTCCCACGCGGAGCGAGTGACTCAGGGCGCACGTGGGGCGGCCGGGCCCAGGGGCGGCCCCGGTTCTGCTCCCGGGGTCCCGGAGCTCCTGGCTGGGTGACTCACGGACAGGTCGGCTGGGAGCAGGGATTAGGCAGGCCTGGATGCTGCTGGGAATGGGCCGGCGACATTAGCGACCGGAGCCGCACGTCGCTGCCTGCTCCGTTAAGCGGGAAGCTGCTCCTGGTGCCCTGCTCAGATGCCCTTGGAGCATCTTCCGAATGGCCAGGGATGCAGCGTGCCTGGGAGGGTTAATGCCCTCGCAGAGAGGCTTCCAGCCTCGTGATCGCGCTCTGGATTTCAGACGTGGCTCCAGCGCTGCGGACGTTGTGCGTTAGCCCAGGGCCTGGCCTTGCTGCTCTGTGAACGCGCAATTGAAGGGCTCGAGCCGGCCCTGGGGACACCGGGAATGAGAAGGGGTCACTGGAGCTGGCACTCACTGGGCCTGGCAGAGCACAACGGGGTTGCATTGATGGCACATTAGTCGCTCATTATTAGATGATAATTCTGCAGGGATTTATACCTCGTGGTCAGTGCTTGCTTTACTTACTTAGCACGGATTCTGCATGAGTTGAGGCAGGTGGGGGAGTTTGGTACTGATATCCAAGCTAATACTTAACCAACACCCCTGACCTTATCTAAGCTAATAAGACAGTTCTGTGGCACTGCTGGATGCCGAGAAGTCCAGCCTTTGAGAAGCTCTTGTATGAGTTGCCGTTTTGAGCTGCTTCACCACCAGTTTGGGTCCCTTTTCCTTGTTCTTGCTGGGGATAAACCAGGGTGGATGTTTCATTCCGCTCTTCTCGCAGAGCGGGGCTGGAAGCTGCTGTGGGTGCAGCAGGGACAAGGATGGCAACTTGCCCCTATGTTGGTGTTTAAGCAGCACTCGGGTCATTTGCATCATGGTGAACATCATTAGGTCAGTAGAATAGGGTGGATGAGGGACACTGACAGTCTTATTTGAACGGATTTGAATAAGTGGAGCAAGAGAACTCATAATGGTGACGTTCCTCTCTCCCTAGAGAGGAATCTCTTGCTCCAAATGTTTTTGTTGTGCACCCAGGGGTGATAGGTCCCTTTGTGTTCTGCTTCTCCCCGTTTTTTGTGTTCTGCTTCTCCCCGTTTTAATTTGCAGCAGTATCGCAGAGCAGAACTGCTTGGGCAGCAGATTAGCTGTTTAATCTGTCCCATACTTGCCTAGAATCCAGCGTGCCTGATGCTGGACATTGTCATTTCTGGAGCGTGTTTGCGGGGATTAGACTGATAGCTGGGGCTTTCCCCCTCCACGTGCTTGAGCAAAGCGCCCTGAAGAAAGAGCAGCTCCGACTTGTGTTTGCTCTGCTCATCTCCATTCTGGTCCCACCGGGTGCTTTGTAAAAGGATGTTGCTGGTTTAGTTTCAGTTTCTATTTAAATTCTCATGTTTCATGGTGGTGATTTCAATGTACCTGGCAAACCAGGAGAAGCGGCCGCTCTGTGGTCCTCACCGCCTTTGGGATTTTGCTGGTGTTTTGGGTAACTGCTTTCATTTTACTCTATGTGTGGGGTAGTTCCTTGTGCCAGCCAAAGAAAGTGAAGAGTATTTGAAATGGGAAAGCAGAAAACTTGGCAGGGGGCTCTGGGAAAAGGGAGTGTATTTTGTGTGCTTGTTAACGGATCTTAATTTTTATTTTACTTTTTTTTTGTTGTTGTTGTTTTGGGTTTTTTTAATGTAGAAATGCAGCTTAAAACAACAACTTAAACGCTGATCTCGGAACAGTTTGATCTAGTGTCTAAGGACCATCTGGAATATTTAGAGTGGAAGGCCAAACGTAGGACATGACATCTGCTAGAAAATATTCACCTCATGACCTACTTGAGATGGATCCTAATCTTTTTTTAAGAGTCCAGTCTAGTAAACAGGAGATAGAAAGGCTGGGTTTGAGGTGTACTCATCAAAGACATGGGGAATTTATATATTCTCAGAATGCTGAGATTGATACTAAAGCCTTAAAGCTTAAGAGAAGGAAATCTTCTTTTGTGCGTGCTTCATACTCCAGTTGGCAGTGGGTGTAAGAACTGTGCCAGTCCTGGGAGCCACATACAACTCGTTAACAGTCCCTTTTGGCTCTCAAGCTGGCCCTGCAATTGGCTTATTCCATTATGCATCTGGGGATTTGCAGAACAATGCCCTTTATCAGTTCCATAGGCGAGGGGTGGGAGATGGGAGGACTTCAGGCGATGGCTTCTGGTGCCTGGCGAGGATTTGTGGAGTTCAAAGATGCTCCTCTCCTTCACTCCGCCTTTCCAGGCTGGATATAAGGAGCAGGGAAGGAATTCCGGGGCGGTCGAGCCCAGCAGTCTGGCGCTGCTTCAGCTGCAGCTGTTGCAGTGCAGGAGCGAAGGGAGGAATTATCCCCTCCTCCTCCTCGCCGGCGCGCTCCTCCTCCAGCCTCGTATTCCCAGTGCCGCTCGCCGGGGTTAGCGGTGCCGGCCCGGCCGGCTGCTCTTCCGCCTGTAGCGCCGGGTGGGCTGTTCTGCGGAGGGCTGAGCGTCCATGGCCACCGTGCCCGGGGAGCAGCCAGGAGTCCCCGTGCAGGGAACCCGCTTCTGGCCCGTGCGGAGTCGCCTTTGTAGAGGGATATTGAAATATGACCCAATGCCTGTTTGTTTGCAATAGCTGCAAGCCTCGCAGCAGAGATTCAAGTGGGAAACGGAGGGGGAATCCAGAGACAAAGCGGCGGGGGAATTGGGAACTGTGACGACGTGTCCTCCCTCCCGTGCCGGAGCAAGCAAAGGAAGGAGAGGTAGAGGAAAAAAAGACTGAGCCTTGCAACCAGCCGTCACGCTGACGATGTGTCAGTCAAACACCCTGCAGGGACCAGATCTACACGCAGGGAAATGGTGAGATGCTATAAAGCTTTATCTACCCCTCCACCCTCTTGCTACAACCTCCGCAAAGTTAAAATTCATGTCCGGAGGCTGCGGTCAGGGAACGGCGGCAGCGGCAGCTGTGCCGGGGAGCAGCACCCGCAGCTGGAGAGCCCGGGCCCTGCTGGCTCTGCCGGGGGGACACCAAATAGGAGAAGCCGGTTCAGGTACTGTGCAGTGTTTTCTGCTTTGCAGGAAGGGGGTAATGAGGGAGGGAGGATGGGAGGGTTTCTGGGCAGCCATCTGCAAAGCTTTTGTTTGGCCTAATTACTATAAAGCTCCTTATGCTTTGAATTGGCAGGGAAGGGCATGATGTTTTATGACAAGGGGAACGACAAGGGGCTCTTTTCCCTTCTACTCTGCTGGCCCAGGAGAATAGGAAAAATTAGCGAGGGGCTGCTCTGAAAGGAGGCCGAGGCAGCCAGGAGCCGGAGGCTCCGAGGCAGCTGCCAGGACGCAGCTCTGCCGGGATTGGTCCGGGATCGACTGCAGTGAAGGGGGGGAGCGGCGCCCTGGGGCCGGACGCGGTGCCACCCCCGGCTCTCCCGGCCTCCTTTGGGGTTTTTTGTGCTCTGCCCAAATGAAGTGCTTGTTTTTTGGGGGCAAGCAGGGAGGAAGTTGGTTTTGCTGCAGAGAAAATCCGAGCCCAAAGCACCATTTTGCATCCCCGAGCGACAGTGTTGTGCCTGCTCTGTTGATCCTGGTTTTGAAAGGTTGGCACGCAATTCTGTTTTGTTTTCTTAGCTTCTTTCCATTTTAGAAAGAATTGCACAGCGCCGGGTCCAGCTTGCAGGCAGAGTCCTCAGGAGTCTGAACTGAGGCCCAGGATGTCTCTTGCTAGTAAGATGAGGAGCTTTCCCATTCCCAGCCTTGAAAGTTCAATTGCTGCTCATGGCCCCTTCACGAGAATGGTTTGCTTTCAGCTAGGACATGCAGATCAGAAGAAACCCTAGTGCAGTTGGTTATGAGGCCAGAGTGATGAGACCAGATTAGCTGGCAGCACCAGCAGTATCTGCTTAGTGTGTGTATCCTCTGTTCAGAGCCAAGGTATCCAAGGTATGAAGGTTTTAAGGCCTGCAGAGCTGTTTTTGCAGTCGGTTATTTGAACCCTGCGTTAGTGAGCTCGGGAACGGCACTCCCGTTTGTGTCTCGGGTATGAAGTGCCTGTTTCCTGAAGTCAGTCAGTCTGACCAACAAGTCTATGTAAATCTGACTCCTACATCTTTTGTGAGGGAGAATACAGTCAGGAATTCTGCAGCAATGGAAATCGGTGAGGAATGGCAATTCTTAGGCTTCAAGCATTTCTTTTGCTATAATATCTACTGCTCCCTTAGATTTGCCTTTCCATGCAGTTTGGGGCTTAACGTCCCAGAATTATAGATTCCCAGCTTTCAGAATAGTCACTTTGCTGTTCACTCTGGCTGTGCAAGAGCTGGAACGGTCACAAGCAACACTTTGTGGGGAGGTATTTCAACAGTGTGGGGAGGTATTTCTGTTGATCCTCCTACCAAGTTTTGCTCTCAGTTTTACCCACTGCAAACTATCCTGTTACATTTTTTGTTGAATGTTATTTTTTTTTATTATGTCCCCTGCAAGTGACTTTTGCCTTTATTTTTTGAGGATGTGGATAATGAAATTTGACCAGTGACAGTGAACACTATTATTTGGACAGATGACTTTTTTTTTTTTTTTTTTTTTTGAGATAAACTCATCTTTTGCTTGGGAAAAAGGAAGAAGTGACCCAAATAGAGCAGTAGGGATCTGCAGAGTTGAGGTACAGTTAAAGATGAGCAGAGATAACTCACTGCCAGTGGTGAGAAGCTGGGGGAGCTGAGCTGAGATGCTGACCCTCATGTTGTGTATGTAATCTTTCAGGTTGCAATTCCCCCAGCTGGCCCTGAGGCGAAGGTTGGGCCAGCTGAGCTGTATGTCTAGGCCTGCTCTGAAACTCCGTTCTTGGCCTCTGACTATTCTCTATTACCTTCTGCCTTTCGGTGCTCTTAAACCCTTGACCAGAGTGGGATGGAGGCCTATGAGCAGGGTAAGTGTGAGCAGGTCTCTGCTGTGCTTCATGTGTTGGCTGCTTTATATTGCAGGGAGCTGGCAGCACCTGGGTGGAGGGATCCTTGAGGTAGACCAGGGTGGTGATTACTAGTATGAAAACAGAGAGATGCAGTTAATGTTTCTCTTGAGGTTACTATTTGTAATTCTGGTGACTCATTGCTCCACACAGAAGCGATTGTTCAGTAGCAGAGAATTTCAGCATGTCCTCTCCTGGCCGTGGGTATTGGGAAAAGCAGCAGGAATGTCTGAACTGATCCAGTCACCTGCCCTTTGCGTCTGAGGGCCAGGATGAGGCAGGCCAGACACATTCTCCAGTTCTGTTTCCTGGCCACATTCAAATGGTCTGTTTGCTGTCATTTCTGCATAGGAAGGGTTTGTTTGTCAAGGTCTTTGAGCTTCAGGCTGGTGGGATGACACGCTAATGCAAATCTCTGCTCTGAGGCCAGCAGAGCGGTGACTAGGAAGCCATCCACAAAAATAGCCTTTTAACTGCATCACACAAGGATAAATGCAACAACTTGAACTGAAAACTGTAAAGAAACTGCAGTTCTTGGAGATGATTTCCTCTTAATGGCTATTCTTGATCCCACGAATTTGAAAAGTAGCATTTTTGAAGAGTAGGTGTTACTGGGAAATGTCACTTTGATAATTTTTGTGAATTTATAGTCGTATCTGTGTTTTGCAATAGAAAACTGTGCAGAATTGATGTTGGCAATTGGCACTGCTTAAGGCCTATCAGCTAAAATGGCAATACATTCTTCTTTAGTATTTCAGTTCGTGTATCCTGAAGTACCACCAATTTAAAAGCTCTTCTTTGAAGTAAAGTTAAATTAGTGGCTTCATTCTTGAATATCCCTCCCTATATTTTGATCTGATGCAGGAAGATAATTGGAGAGTGAAATAAGTGTGTTTGGTAGGATGGACAAGCTCCCAAATGCTGTGTGCTTTCAGCTGTGTTTATTACTGTAATCTACAAGGCTTAATAATAGAAGATATCATTGACTAGCACTGGGAATAAATGATGACTTTTTCTAAGGAAAGAAAATTAATCATTTTCCACTTGTTAAAGTGGAAGCTGGCCAGCTGTACTGTTCATAAAGACCATACCAGACTGAGCAAAATTCCTGTGCACTTATGTTGGGCTCGCACAAGCTTTGGCTTTTGGCTGACACTAAGTCCCGTAGACCTCAGGGGAGTTATCTCCTGGAAACACCCACCAGGAAAACCTGTCATTGGCCCCGTTACAGGAACACACAGCAGAGCTGCATTTTTCTTGCTACTGAAACATGTTTTGTATAAGTCCCAAAGTGGAACTGTCTAATAGAAACTCTCACCCTGGAAAGAGAAGGGGCACTAGTGGCACAAGCTTACACCAGTGCAGCAGCACCCACATGGTTGTGTTTCTTAATGATACTGGAACAATGAAAGTGGCACACTTTGTGAGATTCACAGAAACACCTTCACTAGTAGATGGCCATCTGAGAAGTGTCTTATCAAACATGGAACAGCTTTTTAGTCAGTTTTCTTTTGGTTATTTACAAAAATGAACATGCTCATAATGCTAAGCCCTTCTAATGAGGGTCCTACTAGAATATGTGAAATGTATTTTTTTCTATACACTTCACATGGGCAGTTTACAGTAACTTTCACATGAAGCTTCAGCCCTCAAGGGAATGGAGTTTCTGGCTTGAATAGAAAGTTACAACAAGCTCCAGGGCTGCCTCCTCCTTCCTCTGTTCTCATCAGAAGGGCAGCAGGGAGGCAGAAGCGCAGCGTAATTTCCTGCAGATGTCAAGGCTACTTCCTGCATGATTTAACTCACTGAATTCAAGGCAGTGTCAGCAGGAGCAGTTTGAGCCCTTCTGTTTTAGGGGGAGAGCTGATGGAAGGGAAGGCAGCAATGAGAACGGCGAACGCCATGGTGTATTTGTTCTGTCTTTAGGTTGCCCTGTACAAATCGGTCCCAACGCGGCTGCTCTCGCGAGCCTGGGGGCGCCTGAACCAGGTGGAGCTGCCCACGTGGCTCCGGAAGCCCGTTTACAGCCTCTACATCTGGACATTCGGAGTGAACATGAAGGAGGCGGCTGTCGAAGACCTGCATCACTATAGGAACCTCAGCGAATTCTTCCGCAGGAAGCTCAAGCCGCAAGCCCGGCCGGTTTGCTGTTTGCACAGCGTTGTGAGTAAAAATGGCAGCTTTACGCTACAGCCCTTATCCCTCAGGGAAGGAGCACGGCTAATCTTTGTCTTATGTAATTAAAAGAGACAAAGCAGAGACTAGAATCCCACGTGAAGCTTTCACAACTTCATTTTTTACAGGAGCTAGATGTGATGGAAGAGTGCATTGATCAGTTGATAGTTTTTTTTGCTTGCTCTGATGGCTCAACAGGTCAGATGTGCATTCATTTCTAACAGGTTTCTTTCTTTTTTTTTTCCTTCTCTGTAGATCAGTCCCTCTGATGGAAAGATACTTAACTTTGGACAGGTAAAAAACTGTGAAGTGGAGCAGGTGAAAGGGGTTACTTACTCGCTGGAATCTTTCTTAGGCCCCCGTGTTAGCACAGAGGAGCTGCATTTTAGGCAAGGTAAATTGTGCATCTGCTGGGCCTTGTACTTGCTCTGCCACTTCTGTGTTCTCGCAACAACAGAACATAGGGCTTTCTGATCCTTCCCATTGCCAGGAACAAAAGTAGTTCTGGGCTTTTTTTCTTTTCTTCCTTTTTTTTTTCTCTTTAATGTATATCTTGCATTTGAGGATAAACATATCACTGTATAGTAGCTTTGTACTGTCTTGCCTCAGTCAGTTAGATTCTCTCCATTAATTACTTGGTTCTTTCATAGGTGGTTTTATTAATGCTTAAAACGGATTTCAAGATTCTCCCCTATAAGGAGATTGTAACGCTCCTGCTTGTCATTCAAATGTGCTCAAGCACCTGGTTAACAAAGATTGTACCAACTGCTCCATTTTCAATACATACACACATGCAATTAATGCATTTTGTAAAGCTGAGGCCTCTCTACAAATTCTACTCTTGGAAGGGTGGCTTTGAGCAAGAATTCTGTGTTTCACAACTTCATTTTCTGTTGTGCTATTTGAGGAAAGTAAAGCTGTAAAACTAATAAATTTCCCAAATGTTTAAAATTCAGTTCTGTTGTAAAAAGAAACAAGCACTTTGAAATGTTGGATTTCTGTGGCTGAATGAAGCTTGTTGTAGTCTCAACAAAACATGCAGGCTGCATTTAGTGCTCTGCTATTACCACTAATTATAATATGGACTTCTGGGCTACAGTAGATGATTGCACGAGTATCTTTAACCCCTTTCTCTCCATGATCTCCTTGCAGCATCACCTGGCAACTCATTTCAGCAACAGCTTGTCACAAAGGAAGGGAATGAGCTCTACCACTGTGTGATCTACCTGGCGCCCGGGGATTATCACTGCTTCCATTCGCCCACAGACTGGAGAGTGTCCCATCGCCGTCACTTCCCAGGTGGGCTCCTGCCCTTGGACAGGGACTGCAGAGCTGCTCTGGGGGCCTGCAGCAGCTCTGCACTCATGATAGATAACTGGAGGAAAGCACTTTGTCACACAGTAATTAATTGTAAGGTAGTAAAGTTTGCCAGTACAAGTCACATATGAAGGGTGAAAAGGTTGAAGTCCTGGTGGTTCTTGCTGTAATCAACTTTCCTTTTAAATTTGTTTATTTTATTAGCATTTCCTGGCAGCTCTAGCTAGCTCCTTGCCTTTCAGCTGCAGACTTGGGAACCACCTCTTTGCATTACCAAAGAGAACTGTGGAGGGGATAGTTAATCACTAAAACACATTCTTAAGCTGTAAAAAGTTATTTGACTCGCTTTTAGTAGACTGTGGCCTTTTGTTAGATGGATCTTAAGCTGATCCTAGAAGTTTTTTTTCATTTCTGTCAGGGCTGAGACCAGGCCCTGGCTCCTTTCTTGTGATCTCTCTGGAGGGCTGAGTTACAGTTAGCTGCAGTTATCACATGGGAACTTAGCGATGAAAGTAGGGTGAAGTTAATTACATCTTTTGTAGCGTAGCAGTGTCAGAGTGTGGATACGAGTCCCTGCACCTCAAGCTGCTGATAGGGGAGCACGCAGGACTGATGCAGAGCAAGCTTCAGCAGGGGCAGACAGGGCTCCCAGCAAAGACTTTGCCCCTTAATAGCAGGTTGTCGCTACCTGTCAAGGTGAAATCCTAGGTGTGAATGAGGGAAAGGGGAGCAGGGCAGCATGAAAAGAATCATTCTCAGGTAGGAAATTTGAACCTTTCATTCTCTTCACAGAGAAAACCGTAGATCACATTGCAGGTTGCTTTCAGTCTCCTGCTGAAAGCTGAGTCTTCCTGTTTCCCAGTGACTGCAAAGCAAAATGCAAAGTACTGCAAGCGCCTCCTGAGCAGTATTGATCTTTCCAGCCAGCAGACTAAAGATCACATCTTTCTATGACCTGTTGTTTTTATTACTGCCCTGTGTTCATCTGCTGAGTATTTGTCTCTCTTCCTCCTATTTGGAGGGACAGAATTGCTTATGGGAGCAGTTCTACTGAAATGACCATTAGGGCATTACAGGCTACCTTGGGTGTATTCTGACTGTTCCAGGCTCCCTGATGTCTGTGAATCCCGGGGTTGCCCGCTGGATCAAGGAACTGTTCTGCCACAACGAACGGGTTGTCCTCACAGGCGACTGGAAACACGGCTTCTTCTCCTTAACAGCAGTGGGAGCAACAAATGTGGGCTCCATCCGCATCTATTTTGACCAGGTGAGCAAGATGGGACCTTCCTGTTTTTGAAAGTTGGGGATGGTAAAGTATAATGCAAGATGACTAATCGAAGCAGTCATTTCAGTATAGACTTTTAAAAATATTCCTGTTGTGCTCTTGATGTGTAAACTCGTGCACTGAAAGTAACTGGCCAGGCACTGTTTCCAGCTGTGGTAATGAATGCAGGATGCTGTCATCCCTCAGTAATGATTTCTCCATTCTTCTCTGCACAGGACTTGCACACCAACAGTCCAAGTTACTCGAAAGGTTCCTACAATGACTTCAGCTTTATCTCCAACAACAACAAGGAGGGAATCCCCATGAGGAAAGGAGAACATTTAGGGGAATTTAACTTAGGCTCCACCATTGTACTCATCTTTGAGGCACCCAAGGACTTCAACTTCCACCTCAAAGCGGGACAAAAAATCCGCTTTGGAGAGGCACTGGGTTCTCTATAGAAACTTGCAGCGAGAAGGTTTTATATACAGAGGAACTCGAACACACCACTGCGTGTTTCATTTAACAAGTATGTATCACTCAGCAGGACCTGGGTGAACAAAACAGGTCTCCTTGCTGTGGCAGACTTGGGAGTATTTGCCCTGTATTTACACACCGCTGCTGAAGGCAGAGAGTCAGATGATCCATATATGTATCAGGTACAATTGCCTTTAAAAACATTGACCAGGGAGGTTTCAGTCCCACCCTGTGCCTGCAGTCTTTTCTGTTCTGCCCCTCTGTGTGCCACAAGATAATTATGTTCTCAGAGCTTGTAAGTCCCTTTTAAGCCTTGCTAGGCTCTGCAGGTGCAATGGGACAGGGTGGAGGTAGAGATTAGCTATATTTAAAGGGACACTGACAGGTTGATTCAGACCTTGTACCTCACATTTGTAGTATCTGGCTGACAGACCTTGAGTTGAGAATGTATTCTCATTTTTGTTTTAATACAGTCCTCAAAAGTTCTTAAATAAAAGACAGCCTGTGAATGCACAGGGAGCCAAGCAGTTAAATGGACTAGTGTGGCTTTACAGTCCAAACTAAGCACTGTGCACAACAGGCAGCATCAGTACAAAAGATTAGACTCATCAGGCTTGTTTTCTAATATTAAAATAACTTGAGTTGTTTTACCTGACATTGTCTCTTTAAAAATGGACTTTGCACTGTATTTTAAATCTGAAAACACTGTGTCTACATTCCACAGAATGAAACTGGTCATCTTGAGTTTTTTTTAGTAGTAGCAGAGAGATCCATGTGTCCTACCCCTAATCCATGGTTTTATTTTGCCATTCCAGGCCTTAAAGACTTTGTTTGTATGAGCGATAAAACAAGATTGTGACAAAATAACACAGGACTAAGGGTAGGAAGGTAGAGAAGATGTTGATCTTCTGTGATGCATCAAGATGGCAGCCAACATAGGTTTTTACTTTTTGGTGTATATATATACATCTTAATTGTTGTATGGTCACTGAATTCTTGATAACTTAATTCTTGTATTTAAAGAAAGTTTCAGAGTCTTGAGGACCAATTTTAAATTTGCACGGAATGAAATGCCATAGGCACTGACGGTGTATTAAGCTATTACAGACCTTTGAAGCAATCTAAAAGTTGCCTCCCAGGGCCATTAGTCTGACCCTTCTATAATGAGCTGACAACTCTTTATCTTACTTGACACACAAAGTCCCACCTTTCCTGACGTCTGCCCTCGTGCTTCACCTCAGCAATGTGCTGGGCTCTGGAAGCTCTCTGTGGATCGGCAGCCAGAGCCTCTTTATAACTTCACGTCAGGAAAAGTTGTAACCAATACTAACACCTTGGATCTCTTGAGCTGGCACTAAATTGCATTGACAGAAATCAGTGTCCAAGCGAAGAGGAGGATTTCACTTTTAAAACCATCTAGCAGTTGTTCTTCTTAAAGAATAAACTCTTTGAGTCCAGGCACTCCCCATGCTTAGAATTGACTTTTGCTGCCTCGAGCTTGTGGGAATGGATGTGCTTATGAAACCTGCCTTTCTGATACCTGAAAGATTTTTCACACTATTTCCTTGCTTGAGCCTTGGGTGTTTTTTCTCTGCTGCTTTGAGGAGATGGTATGATGCTTTGACTAGCTCTGATCTCCTAAAGAAAAAATTCTCTTTTGTATGCACTGCAAAAAAATAGAAATAGAATATAATTTTGTTGTACAAATGTCCAGTTTGCCAAGTCCTGTATGCTTAGCTTGTCATCAGGAAAGAAGGGGTGAGAAACTGCATCTAGTGATGTAGCTCGAGGGTGGCTTTAAGATGATGAGGGCTGTTTGGGTGGCAAGCAGGAGAAAATTATTCATTTGGCTCCAAGAGTCAATGTTTCCTCACATTACATGGGGAGGAGTTTGAAAAGCTTGAAGTGGCTCTCAGCCACCTATCTAGTTAAACTTCTTGGTATTAGCAAGTTAACTCCTGCAGTAGTATATAAGAATATACAGGTTCTAGAAATGTACACTTTTTAAAAACAGTGGAGAGTGAGAAATACAAAGGCAACCATCAACCCCCAGGTTAAAGCTGTACCTAGTCTCTTGCCTCAACTTCCAAGACATGTTAATAGTGAAAAGCAAATGTTCCAGTGGATCAGCAAAATGAATGAAAACCTTCCACCTTCTCCACTGTGGCCTATGGCACCTGACACAGCCAAAGCACCTTTAAGCTTTAATTACTTGCTGCTCCCCATCATTATCTGCAGTATTTGAAGGTCACTGTTAGCCCAGTAGTGGAGAATAGGTTGTCTGCTGTTTACTTTAATAGGAGTCTAGGAGGGACAGGGTTCAGCATGCAAATGACTGGGGTTTTTTTCTGTGATGATCTTAATACTGTGCAGAAGCAGCTGATGAACAAACATGAGGTGTCAGGCAGTAGTCACCCCTGGGCCCCGGAAGTGGAAGCGAAGTTCCTGGAGGGTACTGATAATGCTGTGAATTTCTCCTGCATGGAGAATCCATTTAATTCTTCAACTGTATCAGTAGCACGGTATTTTTGTATGTCAAAGTGTATGACTTACTGACATTAACTCATTTAATTGCAAACATTTTGAAATAAAGAGTCTTATCAGTGTTGCTTATATTTCTGCAATGTCAGGGGCAACTAAATATTCTAAGTGCAGCATGAGGTATTTTTAGCTCCATTTTTTTAAAAAAACAGGTATGGTTAAAAATACACAGAGATATTTAAGTTAACTTACAAAATAAAAGTGACATACATGACTGAAGAAAAGGTATACATTTCTTCCATTCCCCTTCCCTTCTGCTACAAACAAGGCAAAAACTGAGCAGAAATCCCTACCCATGAGCTGGAAGGTGGCATCACATCCCGAGAGCACTGTGGATATCCTGGAGACGGGCAACCAACTTCTCTACGTGATGTCTGTCTTTCAGTTGTGCTTTGGTGAGAGTGTTGATCCTCATCTCCAACTGAAAGTGAACAGGACAGCATAAGCTGTTTGTGTAGCAGGAAAGCTTCCGTGCTTTTTGAGTGAGGAAGAAAGACTTAAATGAGCTCTTAACAGCCTGTATATTAACCCATTTAAGTATAAGGACCATGGAAGTGACAGGATTGTGTTACCTATGATCACCCAAGTATCAGTTAGCTGATACAGGACCCACAGACTTTGCTGTACAAAGTAGGGAACAGAGTAATGCAGATGCTGGCACTGCAGTGGACTTAAAAACTGCCTTGAGAAGCCACGGAAAAAAAATCTTGATGCTCACCTACAGAAGCCTGCTGTGGGGGTTAAGGCTGGTCTTAAAAAAATCCATAGGTGCTGTAGTCACATTCCAGAATGAACAGGCATGGACCATGCAGGCCTTGGGAACAGGACACTACAATTCCTCCTTTCTGAGGACAAGTTTCTCTGGTCTGGCAATTTTAATAGTAGCTTGCTATCTAATTCCCTACCACTGACTTCACCTACATGCATAGCATAGGGATGATTGCTTAAGTAACATCACTTTATTTGCTAGGAACTCACCTGGTGCAGTTCTGCTTGTACTTCTTGTATGGCATCTTGGTCCTCTGGTTGTGTGCTTGTTTCTAGCCACTTCTGCAGAATCTGTGCCTGCTGCTGACAGGACCTGATAAAATGGATTAGGAGGACTCTATCCCAGGAGGATCTCAACAGTCTAAGCAACTTAGACTTGCAATTGATACTTGCAGGGGGACCCAGTGCTAGTACTCAAAAAAGGAATGCTGGAGAGCAGAGAAACGTGCTGAAATCTGTCTGAAAGCTGGTGCCCTATCCTACCTCCAATTCCCAACTTCTTCCTTTCCTCACAGTTGGATCCACTCCAAGACCCATTCTCAAAGCAGTTTTGTAAATCTGTGCTTACTCTAACAGAGAAGTAATCTGTTGTCAAAACTCCTGCCATACTTATTTTAATTGACAGTTGGAAAACCTAAATTTTCACTCCTCCTGATAAAAGAGCTGAAAGATAAATTTTGGCTGCTCTGCCAAGTTTATTTGCAGTGCATTTAGATTAGGCCCAGTGACATCTTTACCATGCTTTCTACAACAACTGCCAAAAGAATAATATTAGTTGTTTAAATTTAACTTTGTTAAATTGTACACACTCCCTCCCACCCAGAGAGGGTGGGAGGAGAAATCACAAAATCTAGAATTTGTTTCAGTCACAGTTCTGCTCTGAAACAGACTGGTTGCAAAGTAAATGCACACATACAAAAAGTGCAATACTGAGCTGAGAGTATGAGAAAAGGTGGGTAAAGGGGCTTTGCAGCCTACTTGAGTTCTTGCTTCCTGCTGAAGTAGTACTGCATTTGCTGTTGGATAGATTGGAGCTCTGCTTCCAGCTCTCTCTGGAACACCTCTTCTCTTCTGGAATTGTGCTTGCTTTCTTCCTCTTTAGCTGGAAAGAGGTACAAGACACAGTCACTGGTAGTGCAGCAGTCCTGTCTGTTTTTAATTCTTCTCAGGGAAGCTGAGGTTAATGGAACTCTCTACCTAATTCCTTATCTTCCATTTTGTCACACTAAAGGATTCACCCAAAGGATTGGTTTCAGCAAGACGGCAGGGATCTTGGCAAAAAACTACAAGGTCTCAGGACTCAGTTTAAGCCCACCAGAGAAAACAGGAAACCCTCCAGCACCTGTTTCAGTGCTACAAAGGCTGTTTTGACCTATCCATGATACAGAGGTTTTACATCTACACTAGAAGCAGTCAGTCCTTCTGGTCTCATGGAACCTGTAGTATCTCAGGCCTCATATTTCATGAAAAAAACACCCTAATGAGAAGTGAACACAATCTTTAGCTTTCCTCAGTAATTACAGCACTTGGATTACTAATTATAGTACTTGAATGCCCCTGCAATAGAGTATGATCCTGCTAAGAAAGCTGACCCCCAGCAATTCCCACTTTTCAATCCTACAATTGGACTTTAAGCCTTTCCCCAATCAAACAGGCTCCACAAAACTATATTACCATCCCAAAAAGGAATGACTGGCTCCTTGTGTCCTGATACAGATGTAGGGACTGCTTTGCCTGCCTGACATTTTTGGGACATGAGCTGCTTTGCCCTTGCAGACCTGCATGCATTGGAGCAGGACCTCTAACTGCTGCAGTTTAGAGCTGGGGGACCTTAGGTGACTCTGTGTGTGTGGGAGGGTTGGACTAGATGATCTCTAGAGGTCCCTTCCAACCTTAATGATTCTATGACCCACCTGCTGTTCGGTGACTCTGTTTTCCCATGAAGTCCTCAGGTGACAGCAGATATGGCTGCAAGTTTGGCTGCAATTTCTTCCCCACGGGACCCTGTTGGGATTCTTGGGAATGTGCTTCTGTGTGACAATCCACAGGTAGGCCTCCTCGCTACATGGACCAAATGACATTATTTCTTTCTCCAAAGATTTTCCTGACCCAAGCTGCTAAGCCCTACTCCCCTTAAGAAGTCCCATGTAATTGTTGCACCGCTCAGCAGCTTTGCTTATTCTGTGATGTTTCAAGAAATTGGAGCTCTTTCACTTTTAACAGGGAGATCTTTCACCAAGATTAGTGCTTCCCATTCTACATGAAACAAGAGTTTAAGCTATGAGCAGCTACTTGCAGGTAAACTGAATTTAAGTTTTATTGTTGAAACTACAAGCCATAGTCACAGCTACTAAGCTGAGTTTCTCAAAATTCCTGCAATTTGGCTGGCAAACTGTAATGCTATGAACTCTTTGGAGGAGCTGTGCTCTCAAATCAATTGCTGGGAAGAACATCCTCCTGGGAAGGAGACAAGAGCAGGAAAAAGGCATGAGTTGAAGTACAAAGCACATGGGCTGGCCTGCTAGTGAAGTGTTGCTTCAGGTTCATGGTAAAGAAAAGGAGCTTTTCAGAGACAGGTAATTTGAAACAGAAAATAAAGAACTCCCTGAAGGGGAAGCCCTGAGGAGCCACAGGAAGAAGCAGCAAATAAGCAACCTTTGTGCTAACCGTAGCCTGCTAAGTACTCTTGCTTCTCAAAGAACACTCACCTTTTTTGCTTCAGCTTTCATCTGGGCCATGAATGACGAAGGAGGCCACAGCCCTGGCCTTGGATAGAACGGAACAGCGTGGTGCTCATTGTCTGGCCACACCGGTACAGAGGGAAGTACGGGAGATGAGTGGGCGTGAGCATGACAGCCCACTTGGGACAGCTGATTGCAGATGCTTTCTTCCATTTGAGTTGCTAGCAGTAAGTGCCCAGCCTGAGTAGAACATTTGTTCATAACCGCTCGCTGAGGTGTCTCTGACCTGGGAAGGGAAGGAAAAAAAAATATCAAGTCTCTGTACATTTCAACCCACCTTTCTTGTCCTTTTCAGTCAACGTTAAAAATAGAGAATCTTGCTATTCCCTTGCACACTGGAGGGAACTCGTGCCCTGCTGGGTTAGCCTCCTAAATCCCCCACAGTACTAGATTCCAGCACAAGACTGCTAGAAACTTATCTCCTCCAGACCTGCACTTACCCTGCTATAAAAGAGCAGTAGTTCAAAGGAACAAAAGCAACCCCACTGGAGCAGCTTTCCCACTGGCTGCCTTCTTATGCAGGGAAAACCTCGATTAAGGGAAAACAAACAAAAAATAACACAATGGGCTAGAAAGGGAAAAAGGCAGCAGATTGGTGAAGGTCTTCACTATTCCCACCTACCCTGCTCAAACCCTCCACATTAACCCAGGCTGAAACATCAACATCTTCACAAGCTGTGAATTCAACCAAAGACAGAATCCTGCCTGACTTTGTTTTGGGGACAAGAAGAGAAGAGCAGCAGCAAGCAGCAATCACAGACAGGTTCTGGCAGGAACTACATATTGCCCTCTCTAAAACTAACCGGGGACAGCTAATCATATAATAATTTAACAAATGAAAGAAAATTCAATCTATTTCGGTCAAGAAGCAATTTTAGCTTCTACAACATGAGCAATTTCAGCTCCCTCACTTTCAAGGCTAAGAAGCGATACTTCTTTAACAGCAGCACAGATCTTCTGAGAAAGTAACTACAAAAAATGTTCTGTTTAGAGCTGCCGAGCTGATCTGCCAACAGAGAGAAACATTCAATTTTGGCTCACACATTAAAAAAGTTATTAATGCTGCCCCACAGAGTAATTAAATCCAGATCCAAGCCTGCTGTGGAACAAATATAATCTATGAGCCAAAAAAAGCATCCTCACAACTCAGACTTCTAGGTTCATTTTCAAAAAAAAAAGTAACTTTGCTTATAACTAAGCCTGTAAAATTTTGGAAATCAGTGAGGTGCATTACCTTTCCCTGCAGATTCCTCACTAATGAACAACAACCTCTTGGTTTTTGATTAACATGATAGTCCCATTATTCTTGTCCACTTCATAAGAAGTCTGAAGTTTTACAATTCACCATGTGCTTTTCGTAGTATAGACCAATGCAGAGCCCCATAATTACTGAATGCTCTGTATTATGAAGGAGATTGAGGGAATAAGCATAGCATGAGGCCCCGTTTAAGCATTTACTTAAAGACAAAATGACAACACACACACACACATATACACACACAAAAAAAACACACAAAAAAAAAACCCACAAAAACACATTTTTACCTAGTACAAGTCATTCCTAGCAGTTCCTCTCTTTCTAGAGATTCCAGAAGGAAGTCAGGTCTTCGTGGCGGCAACCTTGCTCGTCGAAGAAAATTTCTGGAAAGAATGAACAGGACCAATAAAGCCATAGTTTCATAATTATCTTCAATTAGCATAAGCTGCATAAGCTTTACACTCACAGCTCACTGAGAATCGAGTCCCCAGCAGCGAGGAGGAACGGAGAACGACTGCTTTGTGATGGCCACGGCGCTTCCTCTACTGAACACCCTCTTGTTCCTGGGTTAATATCAGGCACCTTAAACATTCCTTGCTTGTTCAGAGGTAGCAGGGGAGTAGAAGGCTTATTTAAGTGCTTGCAGAGGGCCTTCTGCTTCCAGAGCATGGCACAGCGATGCACTGACTGGGGAAGGCTGTAGATTGCCTGCAAACACAAAGAACAGTGGATTGTTTAACGAGCGAGAGCAGGAAGCAGCATCAAGGCCCCCGAGGAGATGGCCCACAAAAGGGCCAACATGGCCAACAGCATCACCAGCTCTCTCCATGCTAAATTAGCAGGCCCATCACGCATTGGAAAAAAAGAAATAACTGGGCACTTCCCAATGAGGCAGCCTGCACATCAACAAACAGAACAACCACTCTCTTGAAAACCTGGAAGGGAGTTGAGAGAACTACCCATGAATCAGAAGAGAACAACTACAACCAGCAACCCTACCTTCCTCTCCATGCACAGGCCTCGACCGACAGGCAAATGTAGAAGCGACACCACAGCCCACAACTTAGCGCTAAAACTAGGACAGGATTAGGTACAGAATCACACACAAGGAATCACAGAATGGTTGAGGTTGGAAGGGACCTCTAGAGATCTAGTCCAACCCCCCTGCTCTAGCAGGGTCACCCAGAGCACATGGTACAGAGTGGCATCCAGGTGGGTTTGGAAGACCTCCAGAGAAGGAGACTCCACAACCTCCCTGGGCAGCCTCACATTAAAGTACAGCCTTTAATACTTTGTGCCAGCACAGTCCTATTGCTTAGAGACTGTACCCCAAGGCAAAGGTCTTCTTCAGTTTTGTCTCTGTGATGGGGATGAGTCAATTTTGAAACAGTTTGTTAAGAAAGGCCTCCAATTAGCAACACTAGCCGGAAGAGCTCTAATTGCTGTTGAGTGACAGGACAGAGTGTTTTATTTTGAACCATGGACAAAAGCACATGTCAGATTCAAACAGAGCTTAGACTTAGGGTTCTAATAAACCCTCTCCCCTCCATAGATCAGAGCAATGCAGCGCCTGGATGCATCCAAGTCATTACTTGTCTCCTTCACCTTTGGCTGGTGCTGGGCTCGAAGCTGCCTCCTCGACCGTTCCAGGCCAGCGGAGTGTCTCAAGGTCCGGGTTACACCTTCCTTCAGCAGGGCAGCGCGGCGAACTCCTACAGCCCTTTCAAGGAGCTTTTTCTTCCGTTGTTGCTCCTGGACAAATCCCAGCCAAGCACTAAATACCTTCAATATGAAGAGCAGAGAGCCACAGGCATGTTAAAGAGACAAGTCCTGGGTTTGGGACCTCCCCTGCAAACAGGGAGAGTCTCCATTCCACTGGTCAGTAATGGACAGAGTTCCAGCACAGTACAAGGGCAAAGGGACAGGGACTTAAGTCTGCTGAGGCTGGATGGGGAAAGCATGTGCAAACTTTTAATCCGATAAGAGGATTTGGGGACAGCTTCTCAGCATCCCAAAATGACATACAGCACTCTGAAGACCAAAGTGAAGATACATTCAACATGTACTTTGCCTGTTGCAGTCCAATCTACATGCGATCTGCAAAGACCCCAAATGCACTTGTCTGCCCCTCCCCTGCCCCCCAAGCCCCTTACCTTGCCCTGCAATGAAAGGCACCAGTGCCACAGTGCTCTCGCTGTCTCCTGCTTTTCCCATTGCTGCTGCACCAGCTAGCAGGAAAAAACAAACAAACAAAAAAAAAATCACCACGCAACATCCAGGTTAGGGATTTACATGTCACATACCACAAATCCTAGCCAAATGGAGCATTAACCAAAAGGGAAGCACTCGTGGAACAGTAAGAGAAGAGCAACAGAAGAGCCTACTCAGATTGCCCAGTACACACAAGATTTCCCTCGCGCTAGGGGAATAAAAACAACCTACACAAACTTTGGGAGAATATTTAAACACATTTACTCCATGTATATATTCTCTTTCAAACTTCATGTATAAATGGAGTATGCAAAAGAAGGGCTAAGGATGAGCAAGGAGCTAGGTGCTTGCCCAGGGACAGTTCCTTACCTGTTTCTTCCAGCAGGAGAAGCAGGTAGAGCAAAGTCTCCGAGTCATTAGCTGATAACCCTGTCTCTGCAGGAGCTGCAAGGAAACCAGAATAGTGAGTCACTCTCAGAGAAACCCAACTTATCTGAGCCAAATGCTACGAGAACAGAACAGCCTTTATCTCCCTCTCTTTCCTCTGTTGAGGCCAGCCACCCTCAATACAAAGTGCTCTGTGGTGTAATCCCTTCAGCATATTTCCAGGAGCCCAGCAGGGATTCCATGTAGAATAGATGATCTTGCATGTGGCAAGCCCTGATTCCTGTCTTCTCTTAGGTCTATTAGTCCTGCCAGTATTTCTTCAAATGGGACTCAGGTCAATTCCTTCCTCCTCAGTGCTCGAGGAAGGGTCTCATGCTCCTCATCTTCAGCCAGCACGACCACCCCCTTCCCCAGGAGACATGGTCTGTGGCCCCACACCAGCTATTTGCCAGCCTAGGGAAGTGTTATCCTTCTCACCGCCTTCTCAAGATGCTGCTCGTGGTATTTCTTCCAATTCCTCAGGTACTTCTGGAGCAGGTGCTGCTGATGGTGCTGCACTGCCCTGTCCTGATTAGCTCTCAGCACCAGAGACTCTGCAGTAACTTCCTTCCAATGAAGGAACCGGCTCTGTAAACGTGCTGTTAGAGAAACACAAATCAACATGAGACTATCAGGAGTTTAGCTCCTCTCAGCTTGTTTTGGCAATACTTAGCTCTAAAAAGGATAGTCTAATACTTCAGGTAATGACCAGGGAGCTGGGACTTGCAAGTTCCCCACTGCCACTGACAGTCCTGCTCATTTTTAGGAAATCATTTACTCTGTGCTTCACATTGCACACTTCAAGAATGTAAATGACACCAGGAAAATGCTTGCAGAATTGGAGTCATTTCACATTAATTACTAGAGAAAGACTGAGACAATAAATGAGGCAATAAAATTACTTGCATTGCCTGCAAAATAGAGATGCCTGAGTTCTTCATGGTTGGTAACAGAAAATGCCTTTGAGGAAGGAAATGTTATCATCCATTATCATCCATTACTTAGTGAGGGAACCGAGAGAGAGGCAAAGGTCACTCATTAAGTCTGGGATAGACCATAGAATCTCAAGTCATATCCTATTCTGTGGGGTCATCCTCTGTAGGATTGAGGCACAATCCATTTAGTCATTTCATCTGAACAAAGGAAACAAAAGGCTGCTCTGCTAAGATACATCCTTCTAGGGATCATACACAAAAAAATGACTATTTGACAATTTAATATCTACACCAGCTCACCTATATTCAAATGTTTTACAGCCTCCTTCACAGCTGCCTGTTTCTGATGACGATAATGTACTTTTAGTGAGGCAGCATCCTTCCACTGCAGCAACACCTGAAGATATGAAGCAATCAGGAAACTGAATGCAGACTGACACTGTAATGATCTTGAAAGTGAGAGGAATGTACAGCCCACTGCTGCCACCACAACTACTTCCATCTGATTCTCATGCAAGCCTCAGCAAGAGGGCACACATTCCCTCCAAGTGAAGCCCGGCATGACTTCAGGCCCTCTTGTGCTTTCAAGGTGTTGTTCTTTTCTTTCCCCACACAGATTTTATGACTGTGCTATGCACCTCTTTCCCTTCCTTCCAGGAAGTTGTACAGGGGAAAAGAGAAAAGGGAAGTGTGGGGGGGGGGGGGCAGAAAAAGGAGCAGAAGAGAGAAAAAAAAAAAAGAAAAAAAACCCCACTCACTATGGAAATACCTGCTATGATAAGCTAGAATCAGAATTGGAACTTTCCAAATTCTTAAATCCTTCTTAGTAGTGGCTTTTAGATGATGGTATGAGTTGTGGCCCTTCCAACTGCATTACCTGACCCCTGCCTGAATTAGTATTTCTTCCTACACCTTGATACCTGCTGCACAGACCCTACCTTTGACAGGATCACTCTCCTGTAGTGTTGATCTGCCTGAGAAGCTGCTTTAGCTTCAAGGGCATTTTCTCTCCATATATGCAGCAACTGCCTGAAGACAAAGCAGAAAGAAAAACATTATGAAGGATTCTTGCCTGTTCTTACTTCACGTAACTTGTTCATTTGGCCCACTCCCATTCATTGGGAAACCAAAACCAAAGCAGCCTTCATGAACTCAGTCTTGCAAATCAGCTTCTGTCCCTGCAGGTTTCTGCTGGAGAGAGGGCAGTGAAAAAAGCACAACACACTCTTAAATCTAACACATCAAGTAGAGTCAGTCACACTCACAGGTATATAGCACTAAATAAAGGAAAAAGCCATCAAGTGGCTAAAACTAAAGCAATTACCACCAATATACAGTGACTATTACTTGTAATCACTCTCCTCACTATAATGTAAAGTAACCCCTAAATGTTCCAAGATGCTTAAAGATCAGCACAATCAGAATCCATCTGCTGCAGGGAATGATGTAGTTTACTGCCTAGTGTCTTTCATGGTACTGAGCAGAGACAAGCTCTGGCAAATGCAACAGACACAATCATCAGCAGAGGAAAGATTTTGGAACTTGATTAAAGAGACAGTAAAAACCTAAACAAACAAACCAACCCCGCAACATAACAGCCCACAGCCCTGCAAGAGGTCAACCTGTTTTAGTCAGACAAGCTGCAGAGGAACAGCAACGCTGAGAAGAAACAATTCTCAACACCAAACACTCAAAAAATCAGAAAGACAGAAGAGAATAATTTGTCTGCAGTGAAGTCACTTCCCTCCCTTGCTGCACACTGAAACATAGACTTACTGCAGCAGTAGTCTGCAGTGTTGTTTCTCCTTCTCAGCTACTTGATAGAGAATGCACTGCACGTTTTGCTGGTAACTCTGCAAGAAAAGCAGTGAGATGTAAGACTGAAAACTAACAACAGCTTTAGAGTCCAGGAAAAAGTTAAGTTGCAGCCACTGCAATTGAATCCTCCATTTTTCTGAGATGCAACAGCTGAGATGCCAGCTAATGCTAGCTATCACACACCCTTTTTCCAAAGCCACAATACCACACTGCTGCTTTTGCTTCAGCAGTCAACGCTGAAGCTCATGTAAATCTAGCAACAATAGCTACTTTCTAGCATGCACACTTGGTGTGTAAGCCACTGGAGAGAAACAGTGTGGCAGCTGTGCAGCTCTCACAGTCAGGCACACGCAGTGAAGTTCAATGAAGGGAAGGGCATTTGCTCCTACCTTCCAGGCTGCCAAGGCCTTGCCCAGCAACACGCGCTGATAGTGAACGTCTGCTCGCACCAGCTTCTTCCATTTCTCACGCTGATGTTCCACATACTACAAGAAGAAAAAAACAACCTCTGATACAGACATGCTGGAGGGAAAACAGACAATGAAAGAGACAAAGGAAAAGGAACATTCCCAATTTCTGAGGAAACACCCTTTATACTGGTACAGGTTCTAACTGAAACCAGTGCCACACACTGCCGTTTCTCCAAAGGAACTAATTGAGGCCTTTATTTCCCCCATACTTTCCAGCAATTGTCTTAAAGACTGCCACAATAATTCACTCAGGTTAATAGCTCTGTACCAACATAAAAGTGAAATGCCAGCCGAGAGCACCTATCGTGACTCCTGTGTTTATTGTGAGTAATCTATAGTGTCTATCGTGACCCATGCAGAGCTACAAACTATCTACCTATCATGCTAAGCCCAGCATGACTAGTATTTAAAATTTTAAAATTCCTTTAATTTTGTTCCTAAAGTAGCCACACAGATGAAAAATACTCTCAACATAACAAAAGAGATTCAAGCTTTTCCTCATCTGTTAAGGGTCTCACCTCTCTCCACTTGTTCCAAGACTGCTGCAGACACTTTGAATAGTGAAATCTCTCAGCTTGCATCTCCTTGAGCCTCCTAAAGAAAAATACAACTTACTTTTCTCTTAAAATGCAACTCATGCAAGGAAACTCCTCCAGCACAGACATGAGTTCACACTTGCTCCTTTCAGTAAATAAATATTTTTTGAAAAGCAAATTAGAGGATTCTAAAGTACAAATAAGGAGTCAGAGTCACTGTGAATTAAACACTGCTTTGTGGCTGCCTGCCAAAGGGCCAATCGAAATCATCCCTTTTGAGAAATTTCTTACTGTGTTTTTCTCTCCTGAGTATTTTGCTTCCACAGACAGAAAGCCTTAGACAGCAGCATGTAGCTGTAGTGATTTCCAGCACGAAGCAAGTCCTCTTGCTCCTCCAGGAGTGCATTTGCTCTTCTGCGCCAGAAGCACCAGCAACTAAGCAACAGTTGCCTCTCAAAACGAAGTACAGCCTATAATGAAGAAAGCAATGACCACTTAAAAGGACATTTCAAGCAAGGAAGACCATTCTTCAAAGGCAACAAGCACAGTAAAGCTGTCCTATGTTTCCCCACAACACTCACTAAAGTTGAACAACAATGAACTTAAGTTACAAAAGCCCCTCTGCTGCAAGTTTTTCTGACTGTATTCTGTAGGTATCTTGTCTGGATCTAGAAACCTTTATCAGAAGACAGCAGGTCAAAGAGAGGAAAAATACATGCTGATAAGTAGTATGTGAAAGTCTCTGAAGAACTGGTAAGCTCAAGACTCACCTTGTTGAATTCACAAGAAGTGATAAACTGGGAACACAAAGTGTCAGCTGAACCTGCACAAGGCCACCAGCAGACACCAACATGAAGAGTGTGCTGCATAACTGGGACCACATTAAATCAAACAGTGGCTGCTACAAAGACTGCAGGATTATACATGTACACCAGGTGAAATAAAGGTCCCTTGCAGGAATTTTCTGAACATTGAGAAGCCACTTGTGTGTCAGAAAAAGCCACTGCTCTCAGCAAACAGCTGGAGTTGGCCTTCCAGCTCCACAGAATAAGCACGTACTCCAACAACATAACAAACGAGGAGACAGAGAAGGAGCAAGAAATAAAAACAGAAAGAAAAGAGTGTGGGTGTGCGCACTCATACTGTGTGAGGCGAATGTACTGCCTGAATAGTTAACTGCTGAAAATATTAGCAGCTTGAGGCTTCAAGAAAAGCTTTCCAGTAAACATTGTTCCAGTAAACATTGCTTGTGATCTGTATCTCCCACGTCTTGCTCCCTGATGATAGAAAAGGGAATTTCCAACACCATGTCATGTAACTGATGTTCACAGAGAACATGTGATGTTCACTAAGAAATCATCTATTTCCTGATCAAGGTCAGATAAAGAATTACATTTACCCTCTTCTCCTCCACTCGGTATTCTTGCTGCTTGCATGCCCTCAGCCACCACATGTCAAATGCCTTTCTCACCAACACCTTCCTGCAAGGAAAAAGGGTAATGTCAGCACAGGAGATAATTCCTTCAGAGGGCAGGTAGATTTTATGGACTTCAAAAAACCAATCTGTCTATGTGTCAAATAGTTACTTGATTGTGAGTCATGCAAGCCCTTAAAAAAAAAAAAAAAAGAAATTGGTCAGCTATATCTCTTCAATATTCTTTATTAAAAAAAAAAGTGTAGTAATTAATCCAACCCCTGAAACCCTACCTAGAACATGTAAGATTAATGAGTCCATTGAAATTATTGAACTGCTTGCTTTCATTCATATCATTCAACTCTTACTTTTGATCACTTCATTAATTTTATTTACAAATACACAGAAAAATTTATAAAATAAATGTAAAAAAAACTTAATTATAAACACAGTCTATTCCCTCCTCCCTTAGCAATATTTTAAAGATCCTACTTTATATTTTTTTTAATAGGATTAAAATATTTTAGTAGGATTTGTAAACATTATGACAATAAGTAATAAAGAGGAGCGCTGTCACCTAACATCACGAATGAATGGATTCTACCAAAGTCTTCTTTTATGAACAAGATCAGGTAGCAGCTCTCATTATCCAGGTTTCTTTCCCTCTAGAGGAAGATAATGCTTATTCCTTCAAGAGAGCCACAAGAATCATTAAAAAATAGTTCTAATAATAAAAAATCCAAAGATGTGATATATATTTGGGATAGAGTGCTAGATATCTCTCACATGGAGCAAATAAATGATAGAATTATCCTAGTCCAGATGCCTGAGCTAAAACCTAACTGAAATAACCCCTGGGTCAAGCTACACCAGCTCTTTCTGTACATCAGTGATGATGGTCTATCAATTACACCACCACAAAGTTTCAGCCTTTCTCTAGTCTAAAGAGCCTTGAGAGATATTTTGGACTCTTACCGGGTAGTTTTTGGTAGGTAGTTATCATAGTTTATTACAAGTTTATAGACTGGTAAACAACAGAAGTTAAGTAAGTCTTCCTGGAGGGCACTGGTGGCTGCCAACAAGAGGGTCTTTGATATGTGTATGGTCACAAGTCTCAAAATTGGTGGCTGTTCTGGAGCCTCTTCAGCACAAATGCAGCAGCCAGGCACTGGCTGGGAGGACAGCGTGTTTGTGCACCAGAGATAGCTGCCGTTCTGGCAATCCCCATGGAATTTCTATTTGGGCAGAAGGCACTCTCGGTCTTCTCAACAGGACATGCTCCTTAAAACTTCTTCTTTGGTGTCCAGAAAAGGGAAGTTCATTTAGACACTTTTTAAAGATAAAAATGGCACATGAACATATTCTTGACTCCAGGAGTTAAGGTATGGCTATATAACCCATAGAAGGCTTTAATCTAGGAGGCTTTAAACAGATGATTTAATCTGTTAATCCCTTCCCTGGTGAAAGGGACACAAGTTACATTGCAGTAGTTTCATCTTCACTGAGCTTAACCCTCCTTGGTCTTTGAGCCTCTTCTCCCTCCATCTCCTGAGGGAAAGCGAATGCACCACAACTGCACTCCCACACGAGCTGGAAAAATTCCTAATTGCTTGCACAAAGACAGCTGCCCTCATTACTCAGCCTGCCCTACAAAGCTGCTTGTGAAGTTCTCAAAAAGCAAACCAATCTCTAAGGCAAAACAGGCTTTCTCTGGGTGGTTTTTCAACAGTTAAGCCATGTTTCTGAGGACAGAAGCACATCAGTAAGAAATAGTGTGGCTGTACTCTCCCAGTGAAAGGTGTACTTCTGCTAGGAAAGAAAATTCAATGTTGAAGACCAATTTTTTCTCCCAACTTACACAGGAAAAGTGTTCAAGGAGGACATCCACTATAAAAGTACTTATCCAAACCAGGTCTTTTCAAGGGAAGCAAACTTTTTGTTAGTCTTCTAATACAGAGTTCACAGAATGACAGAATGCTTGAGGTTGGAAGGAACCTCTGAAGACCATCTTGTCCAGTGCTCCTGCTCAAGCCTTGTACATGCTCATGTTCCCACCTACTGCTACTGCCACTAGGATTTTCAGGTTTTACAGCTACCATCAACGAGCCTCAGCTATAAGCAAGAAGTGTACATTGTCCATTCTTCAAACAAAGAGAAGAAATTACATCAGGATGGTCAGGCATTACCAGAAAGCACTACTAGATTTTAAAGTAGGAGCAAAGGTCTATGAACTTGACATCTCATCTTGAAATAGGAGTATTTCTCTATATACCTGTAATGCATCTGAGCCACCGATGTTAAAGTTTGCTGCTGCTTTTCCTCCTTCTCTTCCAAACGCGACTTCCAACGGTTCCAGAAACTCTGTAGCACCTGAAGAAAACAACAAAGTAAGAAAAATGGATAATGAGAGAGAAGAATTTTAAGGAAGGAAATTACTAATTGTCAGGAGATGAACCTTGCAGCATTTTGCCCTGCTGCATAAAACAAAGCACAGCAAAAAACATCTAGGAGCTTGGTATTTTCCTATTTTCGCAATTCAGGATTAAAGCTAATTACTGCTTACAATGCAAAATGGAGACACTACAATTTTTTTTCTAGAAAAAAATAGTCATGACATATATAGGAAAAGAAAAAAACAAGTAATATGTATAACAATGACAGTCAACTTATGAAAGAGATTTTTTATGACTGCTAGCAATTAGGAACAAAGCCATTGATTTAACAAACACTAACAAACAACAATTTTAGCATTAAATGAACTATTTTGCAGGTGAAGGTATAAACCACCAGGACGGCTCAAGAAAAACTCATGCAGAACAGTTCAGAAATCAAACTCACCGTGACTTGATGCTGACGGTACGCCAGATTTTTTCTCATTTGTTGAGAACGAGCATTTAAAACATTATGTCGAAGGCCCTTAAACCCAAGCCGCTGTAACAACAAGAAATGTTCACAACTTCCATGCAATCCAAATCACTAAGCTTTAGATACAGTTGCTCCTGAAAGAGCCTAAATTTGGTGTACAGCAAAGGTGAAGAAAATCAACAGGGGAGCCACCAAGGGGAAAATGCTATTGCCTGATGAAAAGATAAAGCAGCATGAAAGCCCTATACCTTCAGGATTGGTTTGATACTTAACCAGTTTCCTGATTGGAATAACTACTTCAGAGAGTACCAATGTTTCCCCATCTAGATTCAAGCAGACACACTGATTTTTTCTGCATGAAGAATAGAAATTGTGGCAGATTCTGCAGTAGTTGAGATCTGGAAACCTGATGTCTGATCTGAACTGATTCTGGCAGGAATGGTGCATATGGTGCATTCTTCATATAACAGTCACTCATAACTGTTAGTATCAAAGGCACATTGCCAGTCGTAACTGCTTGAATTCCCTCCAGAGCCTTTTTCACCTCCACTGTTATGGTGCTCTTACCAACAAATGATGCCTGTGGTGTTTCTCAGCCAGCTCACATCGCCAAGCCTCTTCCACACGTAGTACAACATCTGTCACCGAGTTAAAGCATCTTTACCATGGAAGTGCACATCCTCAAATATACACAAACTTCCCCTACAGACAGGGCTATGTCTCTACCTCAATTTACTTCAGTATTTGAATTTCCTGCACTGTTAGCTGTGAGGAGATGATCTTAAGTGATCTCCTGCAGGTCGTTCACTGTCAAGAAGGTCACTGCAACTGCAATAGTTGTATTAATATAGCCTCACATACATAACATGTTCGTCAACAATGCTACCACGTGACACTACTGTTAATTAACCAGGTATTTCTCTGAAGGAATACTTTTTACCTAGATCCACTAGATACAGCATACACATAGGATACAGTGCTTCCAGCATGCAAAAACTCTCCATAAGACAAGCTTTGCTGCCAGCTTTTCAAAGTGCTTCTGGTGAGCGTGCACTCTTCTCCTGCACTCCCACAACAGCCGCCAGCCTGAGAAATAACGCTGGACTATCCCACCTTGATGATGATCCCGAGCCACCTCTAGAAAACAAACATACAAATTACTCAAGACTTGGTCAATTCTGGAGTCATTTAGATCAGATCATGGGCATGACATTCAAACCACAGGTTCTCAAGTGACAGAAGTCCTAACACTGGGAAGTACTGCTAAGAGCTCACAGTAACACTCAGCTAAACTACATTTTTCCCTCAAAAGGGGAATTTAAGACATTATGTCATTTACCCAACATACACAAGCTTGCTTCCATTTTAACATACTGCTATTACTAGATTCCAGGTACCCAAATTGGATTCTTTTCCATTACCACAAATGAACAGACCAATGAGCTTGGTCTGTACTCAGCCATATTCACCTGTGTGAATAATATTCACTTGTGTGAATACAAAAGAGTCTCAACACTGTGACTTGAAGGGAGAAAAAAAAAGAACTAGTGCAATATCTCTACTATTCTACATCAGTTTTGTTTGATTATCAAGAAAATTCACACAAAAACTGACTGATAATAGCCATGAACACTTCCTTCTCATAGGTATCTCAGAGAATAATCTGCAACAGGCAAGTCTTGGTCAAGAGAACAATAAAGAACTTCCTCTTATACCACATTCATCCTCTTGCCAGCAAGTGACTGCCCTGATAGTCCAGTATATAATTGCTCCTTAGCTAGCCAGGCCTGTCACAGTGCCCATATGACATCTCAGCTGCAGTTGAGCTAACACTGCAGTATCTGCTAGGACAGGAAAAACACTGGGGCCTAGTTTGGCTCCATCCTAACTCATTTTCACTTACCTTTCTGACGTCTCTTGACCCTCTGGAGATTTAGGTATCTCAGCCAGGCCTCCACACTTGTCTTCAGTTGCCAGTGGCGATGGTGAGTTGCTGCTCTAGCCTCCTCCTGCTTCTCATTCTGACTGTATAAATACAGTGCTCTCCACTGCAGCCAAGCCTGACAACCGGGGAGGAAGGAGAGTAAGAATAAAGGAAGGGACAGGATGGGAAAAGTAAAATAAAGAAGAGAAGAACAAACTGGTAATAGGTGATTCCTTGTAACATCTGAAGATGGAAATCATGATACTGATGCTTACCTCTAATAATAATAATTCTTTAAGGCAGTTCAGAGTTGTTAATAAAATGCAATATAAGGGCCCTGACCTCTTCTCTCGATCTTCTGCTTCAGGATGCCAATTTTATATCCCGAGATTCCTTTTACATGTATTGTAAATGCCCTCCCACTCCACAAAATAAAAATACCGTCAATCAGCTGATCAGACTTCAAAACTCTGGGAGGGCTGGTTGCAACTACCTTTCACACCCTATCAAAATATCACAGTTCCAAACTTCAAGACCCATTGCTTTCTTTTGCTTCTTATTTACTTATAGTTAGTTCTTTAGTGACTAGACCACTGGCACTTTCATCATTATCAAGCAGTATATAAATCAATAATAATTTCTTCAGTAAGTCTCCTTAACAAATATAACAAACACATCTAGTCTGGTTTGTCTACATTCCTTGTAAATATCTTTTTTTCTTACAAAAATACTCTATTTAGACCTGCCTCTATCATAAATACTATAAATTGCAAATAAAATGAGCATAGGGCATGTTTTTCATTTAACCTGTGGTGTGTAATGTCAACACCTGGGTGCAACTTAAACGTCTGGAATGTTAATAGCTGGAGCTCTTAGGACTTACTCGGAATTGCAGGCTCTGGGCCCAATGTTGCAGAGCCAAAACCTTCATTTTACGGCCAGCACAGTTCTGGTAGTGTCGCCTCCTCCACGCTGCCCATGATACCCTGCCAAGACAGTGTTACAGACACGTTCAAAGCAGTTTCCATAATTTGATGCAGAAAATGAGAAGGTATCTACCACTGCACCTTTTAAATTCACAGTCTACAGGCAAATTAGGAGAATTCAGACCAAAAACAAACAAACAAAAAAGCAAAGAAAAACATACACAGATTTGGAATAAGAAGTCAGTGCAGGAAAAGTTCACAAAATGCAGGTAAAAGTCATGGTGCTACAGGCAGTGCCTCTCCGTCTGGTTCAAATCTACACGTACCGCAAACAGCTTCTTTCTCTGAATGCCAGTGCCACAGCCTGCATTCTGTGCTTTGTCCTTCGAACATCAACATAAATCAGCCAGCGTTGCCACGTCCAGAGCAGTTTCTGTTTATTTGCTGTGCATAACAAATTACAGCATTTTAAGGCCATGCAAGACTCATTTTTTAAGAAGCCTTTAACATTACTTCTTAGTCTCCCCGTTTCCCTTCAGCCCACAGTGACACCTCGTGGGAAACCCTGAAATCACATAGGTCTTTCACAACAGTGTGAATTGTCAGGTTCAGGTATAGAATCACAATATTCAGCATAACAATCTTATTCAATCAGTTTTACAATATTTTCTTTGGTCATTTGTAAAAATGTGCAGCAGTAGCTCTTCAAGAGTTATCCTCTCTCTCCATTACAAAAACAAACTACCCAGAAACAAGACAGGTTTATTCAGTAAACCAACCACAGCTAAAACATAACCTCAATTGCAAATTCTAGCCTATCACTTACTGAAACACACAGTACTGTCTCCTTCCAACAATCTGGCTTGTTAGAACAGATGTTACTGAAGTAAATTTATTAGAAAGAAATCATTCAACAACATGACTGATTTTATGCTATTTCAATATTTAAACTTAAAAATATATCTTTTTTTATTGTTCTTTTTGCTTGTTTGTTCTTGCGATCTCTAATTTACCACAAAACAGGTCAGATCTTTTCAACATTTCCTTTTTTTTTTTTTTTAAACTAAGTAACACTAATTCTTCTGGTCTAGCTTACTAAGAAAGCGATACACTAGCTAGTGTATCAGTTTGTTTCAAAAGGTACCAGTCTATATTATATTCCAGGGCTACTTTGATGACCCAACAGTTAACTTGGCAGGTTAGCATGGAACAAATGATGATTTCATGTCTAAAAAGGAAAGAGCTGCCTTCTCCAACAGTGGAATAGATATTCTCTGCATCTGAAGGAGGTTGCAACCAATATAGGCAACTTTAGCAGCAGGGCAAACCCACTGCAGAACACAGCACCTGCACCATGAGACCTGAGGTGCTTCTAAAGCTTAGGCTCCCTTTCAATTGCAACTACCTGCTGGCAGAAGTAAGGAATACAGATAAAACATGTGCAATTAAGTTCACAACACAGGAAATCAATATATAATTTCTACAGTCACTATAGTTGATACAGAACTCCAGTAACATATTTTATTCCAAACATGCTTTTGAACACACAAGAAGAAAACACACACACACACAACTCAAAGCGGATGGAGCAGCCCTTAAGCTTATTCACGGGCTCACTGGCTTCCCTAAGCAATTGCATAGCTACTTAGCGGAGTGCAGGAATCCCCAGCTCCCAACTGGTGTTTTAGGCAGACAACCATCTGCACCTTTACAGTTCCATGGGATGGGGGAGATAAATGCACAAACACATGCAAGGGACAGAGATTCTCCAACGGAACTGCAAGTACTTTCCTTAGAAACTCCCATCTCAGAGCATTCCCAAATTGGGGTTCCCAAAAGGGACTTTCTGTCCCTTTCTACACTTACCATGCAACTCTGCAACATGATTCTTATTTCTCTTTTGTTGTTGCTGGCAGATAAAGGCTCTCCAAGCCTTGAATACCAGTTGGTAGAGGAAATATCTAAAAAAAAATTAAAAAGACACTCAATGAGATCATTACCAGTGCCAACAGGTAGGATGCATTCAAGATCAGTTACACTCTGAAGATATGTCAGATAAGAAATTCTGATTTTATCTTGAGACATCAGAAGCATACTCTATATGGCATGAGAAATGTAGAAAAAGAAAGAAAAAAAGAAAATAAACAATAAATACAGCATCTCTTAGCTCACCGATACTATTGGTGACTCAACTCCTTCAAAACATATGGAAAAAATATTCACGATTCTATATATTGAAAACAATAAGTTATATTTCACAAACCTATAATGGCAATCAGCTCTGAAGATGAGTTTCTTTTCCCTGCAAGCAATCCACCACTCCTCCTTCCACTCTCCAGAAGTTTTTTGAAGAATCTTCTGATCACAGTAGCATCTAGGCCATTCAGACGTGGAAGAAAATTTAGACGTATGAAACTTTGTAAAGGTTTCCAAGTTGACAATAAATCAGCTTTAATTACGATTACACCATCTCTTTTCCAATCTTGTCTGATTGGCCTAATTACGGTATCTAAATGCATGAAAACACAACCCTTCTGTGATGTCTTTCTCCAGGACTCTACAAAGTACAAGAGGTAATCAGTTAAATGCTGTAAATACTTCATATAAAATCAAGGAAAGGCAGATGTTGTCAGTGATTTCCCAAATATCAGATAGCCAGCTATCAACAGATCTCTGAACAACACATCTTTTATGTTCAGTTCTATATTTTAAACATCAAACACTTAGCCCTATTGACAAATAACATTTTTTTCCTTCCTAATATTTTCCTTGCTTTTTTTTTTTATTTTAACATAAAATAGTTCTTTTATATACAGATATTAGCCACCTCGGATTTTATGTTTTTATACTTCTATCGTGTTCCAAATTTATAGTCTTCCCAAAGAACATAAATAGGCTTAAGAATTTCTTCAAGTTGCACATTTTTTATGCAAAAAAAAAAAAAATGAAGCTGTTCGTTTGTTCCATATACCATTTTCTCTCCTACATACTAAACCAGGCACAAGTAGATTTACAAGTCACATGTGGCCTTCAAAACCTTTAAACCAAGTAAAGCAGCCTTTGCTTTTATACCCAAATTTAATTATCACACCTGATCAGGTAAGATGTGATGCTACATTTCATGCAAATCGCAAACAACTGAAGACTGAGAAGGGTCTGAATGAGGGAATTGTGATTTTGATTGCCTGTAAAATTTTTGCTCACCAGAAACAACAGCCATCATCTATTATCCCCACCACTTTTATTTGTAATATGCTGTTTCCCACATGATGAAGATGAGCCAGCCAAAATTTTAAGAACCTGGAGGTCTCATCTCTGGAGTATCAACAGTTTCCAAATATTTCTCATTCACTTCATTTTTGATGAAGGAAAATGGGAGGAGCAACAAAAACACACAAGCTAGCAACTAAAAGCATACTACAAGTCCAAACTCATAGCCTTTCCTATGAGTTTGCTAGAGCACCAATACACTAAGCTTAATGAAATCACTCATATTTTAGGAACAGGATTAGGTCCAGAACACCTGGATGTCCCTTACTACAAAGGCATAAAAATTCTCTCAGAAATTGCAATTCACAGCTACCTACCCCACGGCAAGTTGCTAAGTCATTTCAAGCACTTAAGAAGAAAAGAGAAAAAAAAAAGACAAAAGGAACAAGAGCTATAGATTAATCTTTTGGACACAGTGCATTAATTGAACATTTCAAATAGAAGATATGAATAACCAGGGCCTATCTTAAATCTAAAATGCAATTAATTTTTGCTGATGGCCCTGGCTGAACTTCAACAATAAAATACAAAAACTTACACAATGCCTAAGCAATACAAATTCAGTGCATGGAATAGCAAGAATACTACAGCTCACGGGACAACTTTTGTTTAGCAGCTAAGTCAGTCATAGTCAGAATACGTTTGATACTGTAGAATGAAATAGGAAAACAAAGGGTCTGCTCTTACTCTCACTGTACCAAATACGCAGGCAACTTTCCACTGGGAACTGTTTCAGTTCCCAAGCGTGTGGTAAAATAAGAATGAATATGTAAATTACAGGAAAATAAGAAGAGAGTATCAAAGTGTTGATTTTCAGTAGCTGATGGAACACTAATAACAGAAACAAAATGCCTGACAGGAGTATTTCGAAGTCATATAGATGCAAAGCCTACACAGATATACATTAACACCACCACAAGCACTAAAGGGAACTGAAGATTTATCTGCTTTGCAGACTATTTATAACTTTTAAAAATTGTTCAATTCAAAGCACGTACTGCAACTGTACCTCCGATTTACCTGCAGAACAGCTCAGCTTCACAGAGAAAATTACAATTCCTCTGATTTTAGTAAGTAAAACTTAATCATGATTATTTAAAAAAAAAAAGGAGCAAGAGGAGCATTCAAAGGAAACCTTCAAACTACATCAGAAGACATCTAAATATTTTCTTGGCAACCAGCATTCTTAGCCCAGTGGTACAACACTAAACCACATTTTAAAAAAACCATACATATATATATATAGTTCCATATATATATATGTGTGTGTGTATATATATATATATATATGCAACTTCATTTACCTGATTTTGGAAGGAAGAACTTGTCCAAATGTCTTTTGTGCCCACAGACAGAAGAATTTCCTTGCTAGGCATCTGCAATATAAACAAAGGTTGGATGACTTTGCACTTTTCCTCTGTGAATTTTCAGACAGCAGTCTTAAAAATAAAGACATTTATGCTAGCTCCAAAGTAACACTAACAGTCTAGTTTTATAGAGACCATTGCACATACATAACATTTATAGCTTGGAAATTGTCCCTTTAAGAGGACTATTCACCAAGCATAACTAGAGACCTACACATCATTGCAGGACTACTTTGGGAACTGATTGTTTGGGAAACAGGGAAAGCTGAGAGGGCTTTTATGCATCCACTGAAATCCAGGGATATGCTGCAAGCAGTGGATTAACTGGGGTAACTTCATGCGATTTAGGAGAGAAGACCTGAGCGTTTCTCTGAAATCAACTAGCCAAGTCAGATTTACATTTCTGGAAAGGGTGAGCAAACCCTTTTTTTTTCCTCCTTCTAAAGGGGTTCAAATGCTAAACTGGCTCATGGAGAGTGGCCACAGGCACCAAAGGCAGCACAAGGTAATCCATGAGAGCGCACAGGCAGGAACAGGGCCTCCCTCTTTTAACATACCTGAGCTGCCAGATCAGCTCAATTCGTCCCACAAAATTATAGGTGTTAAATCTCATAACAGTCACAGTCCCATCTCTGTCATAAGTCCTTCAACAAAGGCAGTAAAAAAACACAGCAGCAGGGACAGACTAAAAAATTCTTACTTGACAATAAAATATGTTCTAAGTGTTTTGAACTTTGCATTAGAAAACCAGTATCAAGGAAACCTGATTGTGCTAATGCATATCCTCAAATTATCAAAGGATGTTTTCTGAATTTTTTTGACAGTCCTGTGAATAAAACCTTTGCCTTCGCCCTCCTTTACACCACTAAAAACAGCAGGATTCTTCAGGAGGACTATCCCCCTGCTTCATTTAGTGAAAATAATGTTTTGTACCCATCACCTGAGTCGGAGTTCTTGCAACTTTCTTCCTTCACTGCAAGTATTCCCACCTTGATGAAGGTTGTGATAACCCCTCTTCTGAAACGGGTGTCCATCAGACTGTGCAGCAATAGACTGACAAACAGCAGAGTGACTGGTCACATGTATTTTTGGTCTATGAAGTTTTTGGGCTGTGTGGATCTTCAAAGTTTTTAAACTTAGAAGGGAGGAAAAAAAGATCATGTGAGATCATATTAACTGCAAAGAAGTTGGCATCATCTCTATAGACTGATCTATAAAAATAGCTATACAATCACACAGAGAAATTGACAGCTACACAATGTTAAAACTTATCTAACTTCTCTCTTTAAACCATTTTTGCTAACTTTATTTCTGGAATTTTAAGGTAATTTCCCAACAAACAGCATTAAGAGAGATTTCAGAGCAACCATGCCATACACATTCCCTTTCTCTTATAATGTTGAAATGAAATATAACTAGTAGCTATATTAGTAGTTATGCTGTTCTGCTTCCCTTCCCATGTAGTTATATACAGTAAAAAAAAGGGTCTTCATAGAAAAAATAACAATAATGTTTTTCTATTTTTTTTAAATTATCCTTGAACATATCGAGCTGTTTTGTCTACTGCTAAAAAAATTTGAGGACTGCAGAATGGAGGTGAGGATTCTCAATGATGACTGTAACAGATGAGGCACTTACACAAACAGTCCGTGATCTTTCAAAGTCTCCCTTACATTTGAACAAAGTATGTTCCTTCTTTAACGGAAAAAACGTTGCTAAAAATCCCTCCCTGTTTTCACATAGCAATCACTAAAAAGGCAAAATTAAGTAGACCCTTCCATTATGCAGTTTATTTTGAAGCCTAGTTCTAATTTGAAAAATAATTTCAAAATGTGTTTAGAATTTCTGAGTATTTTGCCTGAACAATTTTCTGAAAACAAGCAGATAAAAAGAAATCTAACCAGATAAAACCTGTAGAACCAGTTGCATTGAAGCTTCTTTCTCAAAACAAATACTGCCACCACCCTGAAAATTTGCACATTAGAAGTACAAACACATTCTTGAGCTCCATAACATTCAACAGAAGAGACTGCTTCAAATCTCATCGCAGTAATCACCTGAGCTGAGCTAGAAAAAACATTTGGCTGCAGCCAGAAAAAAAAAAAATCTTGTTCCAGCAGTTATTGGAATAATCCACACTAATAGGTTTCAACTGAGCACTCATTCAAAATATGCTCAATTCAATTGAGCACTCATTCAAAATAGTGACATTAAAAAAAAAAAATCTAACGGTTTATTAGCTAAAATCTCATAGCATAAAAGAAAAAAATGTATTTTTGACTTGTTGTAGCAAGCTGCAAGAAGCTAAAATAAAGCCAAAGAAAGAAAACAAGACCTATATTCTGCTAGAGAGAGAAATTCCTGTTCCCCTATAAAATGTTATTTGAATATTTTCTGAAAGAGAAGGGCCTCATCTGGCAGACAAAAGCCTTCAATGCATGTCAAGATACACAGCTGAGACAACCACGTTCCCTTCTGAGGAAGAGAGTTTCAGGCACTTGTTAAATTGGGCAAAATTCTTTCCAGCACATTTCTACTAGACCTGCTTCCCCTCAAAACCTTCTGCTCTATTCCAAAGGCAACCTTAGCTTGACCATAGTTACAACATGGCCAGACAGAGCTGCAAAAATCAAGCACAGGTAGAACATGCAGTTTTAAAATCTGAAATTTGTATTAAAGTCTAAGCAGAATATGCTTTTTCAATATTTTACAACTATTCAGAACAGCAAGAACTATATGTGATAGATGCTACACCTAGGTAATGAAAACAACCCGTGTCCTTGAAAATGTATGTGAAGTAACCAAAAGAAGCAGGTGTTGAAGAGGGATCATTTCTTCACCTTAAAGTTCTTTTTTTTTTTCCTCCTTCCAAGAGGTACATATGTACATTTTCTGATTAACAATGTTCCATAGAAATTAAAAAAAAAAAAAATCCTTTACCAAAGCAGCGTCTTTCTAACCACTTACCTGCTCTCGGCCTTCTCCATTTTGCCTACAACCCCAAGCCTGTGGCAAACACACACACGGGAATGCTGAGCGTGATCTTTGGGTAAAGCACAAATTATTTATTACTAAGGTTGATGCCAAATAAACCTCAGCTAAATAAACCTCCTAGAAACGACCTGAATTCCCCTCACCGGCTCCGCACAGAAAGGAACGTTTGTGTCAGCGTTTGGCACGACCCACACCCTGCTTGCTGACCCGACCACCACCACAGGACACAACGGGCGAGCAGGTAAGTGGCGCTTGGCGGCTGTGTGAGCGCTAGGACAGCGAGGGCCCGGTTGGTGACGCTGCGCCCGGAGACGCCGTGGCCGCCGTGGCCGCCCGCCCGGGCTCGCGGCGCCAACAACCAAGGCGCCGAGGCGGGAGCCGAACCGCGCTCCCGTACGGTGGGACACCCCAAGGGCGCCCGGCGCGGAGCTGCCCCCGCCGCGCCGAACCGGATGGAAGCGGAATGAACCGGATCGAACCGGACTGAACCGGTTCGAAACGACCCGCGCGCGGCCCCCTCACCCCGGCGGCGGGAGGCGCCTCCCGCCCCGCCCCGCGCGAGCGGCCCCCGCGGCGCCGCAGCGGCCCCCGGCGGGCGGGAGGGCGGCGGCAGCGCGGCCCGAGACCGGCCCGGGGGCGGCCCTCGCCCTTCCCGGCCGCCGTGGCTCGGAGCGCGCCCGTGACACCCGCGCCCAGGCTACAACCGGCCCCATAACCCGGCACGCAGGCGGCCAGCGGAGGGCACCGGGGGAAAACGGTTATTTTTGTTTAAACCCACACCCTGAAAGGGTCGGCGCTTTTACTGTCGACTTTCCGCTTGGTTTGAAAACAGGAGGAAAAAAAAAACCACCCATGGGAGCAACGCGTCCTGCCTTGCTGCTCCCCAGTGCTCTGCCACGGGGTGGGAAGCAGGGGATGCCGCGGCCGAGCTCCACGGCCACACGGCGCTGCCGGTGCCGAGGAGGCTCCAGGCGGGCGTCGAGCGAGTGGAAACGGGCACCAAATGCGCAGAACGGGGCGCCGGGTGGACGAGAAGGGGCATGGGGCGAGGAACCCCGTCCCTGCCGCCAACGGGGGCGCCCGAGGCCTGCGAACGGGTCAGCCCCTTCGCTGGAGAATCTCCCCCTGCACCGGGCTGCGTGAGGCCTAGTTTCACTGAACGGAAAGGCTGATACATTAAAAACAAAACCACAAAACCTTGTCAATGAGTGTGCGGGCTGCGCAGCGCTGATTTGCCCCGTTTTTTAGCGCATGCCTCGGTTTTCATAACGTTAAATCGCCAAGGCTGCACCTCTGCGCAGGGCCCTAGGAAGAGGCCGCGCCACCCACCGCCTCCCAGGCTCTCCCGCCGCCCTGCTCACACCATGGCGCTGCCGCCAAGACGTGGGATCCCCCTTCCCTTCCCTTCCTTTCCCTTCCCTTCCCTTCCCTTCCCTTCCCTTCCCTTCCCTTCCCTTCCCTTCCTTTCCCTTCCCTTCCCGCAGCCCCGAGCACGACGGCGGG